ATTTCTGGTCTAAAGCATCAGGTGATATACTTTAATATTCCCTCAAGAACTTTTCATTAGATTGAACAATTTTGTCAGCCATCGCGTTTTTTATTTTGTTTTTCGATATTGATTGATGTACGTACGCGATAACTTTCTAGCAGCCAGCCTTTTATTCAAATTTTAACACTGACTCCATATTGGAACAATTTTTACCAGACAAAACCTCGATATCTTTCGCCCTTGAACGAAAGAGATATTTTCTGTTGTTCCAAGCAAGCGAACCAGGTAGTCAGCATTGATCACCGATTTTATTTGGTAAAACACGCCATATTGACTAGATCTGCCACTTAAATCGGATAGGTAGAATTCCTTGATGAATATTGTGCTTGCCATCCAAAATGGAATTTCTTGAAATGCGAATGAGACCTGTAGCATTGTGATCTTCATTACCTCGTCATTTTTCTTTCAAGGTGTTTTCACTTCATTATCAGGCATTCTGTGCAAAATTTACTTTTAGTTCAGAAATTGACGCGAGCAGAATTTGTGATTAACAAATGCAGACGATTTACAATCCGACTCATTTCACACTGACAGAAACAAGACGCGATCATTATTTTGTGACAATAGTTTCTTATTAAAAGATATTTAATACAGGATATAAGGAAAATTCAGAATTTTTAGATGAACTTCTTTCATGATCATGAAAGTCTTACCTTCTCGGAGACCTTTGCTGGCTTGGTTGCCGTGTAAGGCATATTTTCGGTATCTTCATAGCCCTTCTGTTACTCGGCGCTAGAACTGAGTGCGAAACCCTTCACATTTCATCGCGACGAAGCCCAGATCATGTAGTGGTAATTAGGGGTCGTGGGCACCACAATTTTAAGTTTGAATTAGGAAGGTGAGACTAACTCGAAAGATTCGAGTATCGCCTATGTCATTTCCAAGAGGCCTTAATCGTGAGATTCTTCGCCAGCGAATCTCAAGTGATAAAACATCTTGTTTTGTTCTGTTGCTTTGTGGCTTACCTTTCTACATCAATAAATAAAATCCTTGAACGCTTTAAAATTTCATAATTCTGATCTTTACTTGTTTAAAGTTTACTAGCTTTTAAGCATTCAACAGTCAATAAAACCAGCCGAAGAGACCGAGACTGAAAATTGAAATAATGACTGTATTACACGGTGACAGCATTGTGTTCAGTAAGACGCAACATCTTGACCTTAGAGGGGAACAGAATCAAAAAAGCGATAAAATATTTCATAAATTAATTTAACTCCTGCAAGAGAGTTTGAATTTTAGACTGTCGTTTGCGTGTCCTTGAGACAGGGATAAGTTCCCCTCTTTATTACGTCAAGTTGACGAGATGATTGAGTACAGGTTACTTGATTTTTATTGCACACTCTGACACTCACTCGATGAACTTTTCAATTTATGCGGAGGAAAAATGCCCGTAGTAAAATGAATTCTTATTTCTGTGTGACACTAACAATAGAATATGCTTGCTTTAATATGTATTTCTAAGGCATTAGTACAAGACTTATGCAAATATCGATGCAATTTTACGCTTCTTACCTTTATTAGGAAGTTTCATTTTGTACGACACGCATTCATTCAGCAATTATCCTACTGCCTCAAAGTCGTGTTCCTACATAATTAAAATTTTGTAGCTTCCAAATGTTAGCATGAAATATTTAAGTTGGCGGCTAATTTTATCTACTTGCAACGTTGCTACAAATTTCTTATCTTCGTGTTTTTAGTTGCATTTCTTGTCAACTCAAGTACGGTACGTAACCGCCTTAAGGTTTGAAGGCCACGGCACGTAAGCGTAGATATGGAGATTTCCCTCTCTTCTTCCCGTTTCCCCCTCCCAAATCACTTAAGTAGCATTTTCGTCCGAAAAAATTTAAAAATAGGCTTTCTAGCACTTTTTCGTGGGTGGGAGTGAAGTTTGTTTTTAATTTTGAAGGCTAAGGAGAGATCCAAAATGGCTGTCCAGAGGGGATATTGAGAGGGGGAAACTGAGAATTGAATTTGGAAGTTCATCCTACTTAGTGAGCGTGAAATCATGAGATAACATTTTTCAAGCCTTAAAATTTATTTGATGATATGGTGAAATATTTTTAAATATTTTACCTTGTTAAGCATCGAATCTTATTCCACGCATACACTTCTACTGATTTTACTTTTGTTTATATTTCTTCATTACCTCCTACCTGGCATAATCATGAATTCCGTTTGTTTTGGAAAAATCAATTGAAAAGAATCTTCTATTAAAGTTAGTAGCCGTGGGAAGTAAGGCTAGCTCTTCTTTTATTCTCTTAACAAAATACAAGCTAAGAATTGTGAAACATCGCGACGAAAATTTATTCTTTCATCAAAGAAACTCTGTTTGTTTTGGTAGTCGGATTCTTTAGTGACCACGACAAGCGATTACACTTTTTATATTGACGAAATCAAGGTTTTTGTGATTCTTTTCCCTTATATTTTCCTAATCAGAACTTTTCTTACTTTCAATTATCGACCAAATCAACCCGGAGAAATCTTGTTCGCTAGGAAATCTATCTTTCTATACAGAACTTTTCTTACTTTCAATTATCGACCAAATCAACCCGGAGAAATCTTGTTCGCTAGGAAATCTATTTTTCTATATCTCCCCCCTGCGAGTGATTATGATTCTCCACCTGCCAGGTGTTGCATGTTTCGCTTATGTGGTTCTTTCTCCCTCACAGCTGACTGATTCGTTTTTCAAAACAAGGACATTCCTGATTCGGGCGAAGGCATCTCTCAGTCAGTCGGCCACGATCGAAACGAGCGTGCAAGATAATAAACCTCTCCCAGTAGCCACATTGCCGGAAATCAATTTTCTCGGTCGTAATCTCTGTTAAGAATACTTTCATGTAGTTCTCCTGGATATCACTGAAGTTAAGCCCATTTTGCTGAGTTCATCAATGATTTTGTTGCTTGTGTGTAAATTGTTTGCAAAAATAGTACGAAATCTTTCCTTTCTATTCTGTCAAATCGTAGACAATATAGTAAAGGCATGTGAAACTTATTTCCTTTAACTGCACTTGAAGTGCAGGTTACAGTAAACCGCCAAACCGTGACAAAAATAGGACTATGTTCCTTACTCCAACAAAATAGTGCTTAGGAGAATTCCTTAATTTAGCTAACTTGGGTTATAAGCAGCCATTATGGCCTTAAGTCAAAGAACTCTCAATCATTCTTCTCGTAATACTCACCTTACCTTATGAGAGAAGATTGTATTATGTCATTAATTTTTCCAAATTTTTAGCTCGTTATTGAAAAGTGTGAGGTTCGCATATCTGACGCATGGGCATCACTTCTAGTTTTTTTTTCTCATTTATCATAGAAATCTTCTACCAAAGTGTTAAGCTGAGAGAGAAAACGCTATTGTTGACGAACACAACACGAAATTTTGTTTTCATTACTTCAAGTAGCTTTAATTTCGCCGGTTTCGGAAGAAAGCTCCTACAACTGTTTAAAAATTGCCAATTCTCCGATGATTTAAAACATTAATTTTATTTCGGTTCATAATCCTTTTTCATATACAATGTTAGGCTCAACTTTATTGATGTACGGAGACAAATACCTGCGCAGTTTTATACTGATTTTGGATTTCCGTTTCGAGCCCTAAACACGAGCTCGTCCTGTTTATTCAGTTTACGGAATAGGTTTTATTGGAAGAGTTCTAATTAAGTGTTTCCAACGAAGAGTATTATTTGGAGACGTTGGTTGCATGTAATACAACAACAGCTGCGTAGAACATGCCTTTGTTTCAGGAAATGATCTCGTGTCGTGCTTTGTTAGCTTCGAAAATGATTCGTTTCTCGTGAAATGCGCTTCCGTAAAATTATCCAGGTTATAAAAGTTCGTTAAAATTTTCTCGCCCGAGGGCTGCGCTTTGTTTTATGCTTAGTTACTACAGGCATGGTTTCAAAGTAATTATTTTTTTCAGGGAGAAAACTTTGGGTAGTATCATCTATAAACAAGCACGTGCGACCGCTTCAAACCACGACAGGATGCAACGTGCTAGAAACACTTGTAAAACTGCCAACAATGCGGTGAATCTGACGATTGAAAGCGCGATAGAAAGTTCCTGTCAAAAGGGATAACCATTTATGACTCCAAAATACAAATTTTTATCGAATAAGGTGTTAGAGAGTACGGTGGAAACCATTGTATACATGTCATAGGTTTTGTACTAAGCGACAGGGATTCAGCCATGTTTTTTTTGTCAGACTAAATAGCGACACACTTAGATTTCCAAGAAGGAATGGCGCCAGAATCGATTTGAACCTCGATTACATAAACTGCGGTTAAAAAAATTCTAAAATAACTTCCTTCGTAAATTTATCATTTAAGTACAAACGAGAAATCTCCAAATGAAAAATCTTAGCGGGATATTGCACGTTCTCATCCGTACACCTGCTGAAGATGAAATAATTACTTTCAAACCAAGCTATTTCCCTTGTACGTCGAGAAAATCTCACACATTCGATTGGTTGCAATGAAGGTTTTTGAGGTTTTTCCTCAAAAAGCTTAAAAAAAGTACGACTAAAATCTGCAAAACATCGTGTTTGATATTCGACAATGTCAGCCACGTCACGTTCACTTCTGTGATACTACGTAATGGCCTGGCGCTGTTGTCTACTTCTTCTGCGCTTTCACAAGATGTTGTCTTGAATCCAAAATTACTACGCTTTTAATTTGCTTTTTCATTTTGTGGGTTTTTTGATATTATCTTACAACAAATATCTGTAAAATTTTCGTTTCAGAAAAGAATAAAACGCTTCCTTTAAAATATATTTCTTCTCTCGTAACCTTAGCTCGTCTTTGAAAACGCCATTAATTCACCAAACAACCCGTAAAGCAGGACAGAAAGCCAGTGTTAATCAATGGAGTTTCGCCACAATGTACCACGAAAGGAAATTATGGATACGGGTGGTCTGATACCGGCGCGCAACGCATAGCAAAACAAATGAAAACGCTTTTTCGACTGTTTTCCTTGAGCTTCAGTTTATTAAAACTCCTCGTCTATTTAAGCACAATTCATTACAAATCTGGAAATTGAGAAAACTGGTTTTCATTTTATGTGGTCTTTTAGATAACTTAACCTTTCACAACATTTTCGCAGCACCAGCGAATCAAAAAGAAATAGAGTTTCAGAAAATGACTAAAATTATGGTGCTAGCAGTAAAATTTGTACAGCGTCAATAAATATACATCGTAAAGATTAATTCATAAAAGTTTCCTCAACGTATAAAATTTCAAAATATATATTTAAATACATATACTTTCCGGGCCTATGCCATTATTGCTATCTAGCAGTATAAGTTCTTTACTGAAGTGTTTGTAAGCAATTAAAAGGATCGCTTTCATTGGACTGCACTGCTGAACAAAGCCAAGCCCGGGCGCGTAATTGATGTGTGTGTGGTGGTTCTATTTGAAGAAAAACCGTTTGAAAAGCGACGGACGTTTTCATATTTGTTTTCGTCTAATTTAACGATTTTCTGTAGTTCCTTCGATTCTGTGCTAAACTAATAACGTCTTAACGGCTTTTCTTCACAAAGAACCTCCAAATTTACATAAATTGCAAGTAATACATTCAACTTTTCATAAATGGGGAAATTGATTTTGCCAAAATGAAACAGGTGTAAGGAAAAATGATTTCGGGCCTTATTATCATCAATTCTCGGGCCTAAAATCGAAACTCTGATAGTTACTACGATGAAATTGTGGCAAAATGTACGATGAATAATTTTACTACTCGGCGGAAGTGATTTGTGCTTCGGAATTTCTTCCTTTAGTTGTTAAGCTAATAGGGTATACACTGAATATTATTTACCTGCGGGCTGTTAAGCTGTTCGCGACAAGTCTCTCGAGGATAACAACGTCTTCCATAGCAGTTCGCATAGGCATCGCTTTTCGATGGAGTTGTGTCCCTCATTTTCGAGCGCGTCCGTTCATTAGGTAGCGGCGGGCTTTCGTATATAAACTTCAGTGGTTTAATAGTAGCAGCAATAAAATTCAGGACTTACTTCGTTCATTGACTCGAAAATTTTCAGTCTATAATATAAATAAGATTCACCATTTGTAATTTACTCCAAAATTGTCGTTGACCACTCCGTTTCGCCATCCACGCGTACGATAGTCGATCCATGGAGTGTTTCCGACGGGATTTTTGGAAGGAAATTCAATTCATTTTACTCCAAGTTATTTCATCTTTCAATGTACGGAGAACTTCATTCTTTTCTTTTTTTGTCGCTGGTTACAGAACCAAACACGCACCACATTTTTTGAAAGGTCTAGTTTTTCTGCAATTGAAGCTATCTTGTCGCTTGAAGGTCTTGGATTCATCGCGAAGTAGGCCTCCAGCGAACGCTTCTCCGCAGCTCCAATCGATGTTCGCTTCCTCTTTTTATCCGAATTAGGAAGGAATTGGCTGGTTGTGTTCTTGCATTTGTAAGCTTTTTCAGCCTCTTCTAGCCATGCCGTCAACACGGGTTTTAAAGCCATCATATTATTGTGGCTTAGTGTAAGCGACTCAAATCTACAAATCGTGGACTGGCTTAACGATCCAACGCCAGGGATTTTCAAATGAGCTAGCGCAGCTCCTACGTCGGCTTGAGTGACTCCGAGCTTGATTCTTCTTTGTTTAAAGCGTTCTGCAAACCACTCTAGCTCTCGCGGATTCATTACATCGTCGCTACTGGCCGCGACGCTAATAGCAGAGTGGATAGCAGAGTGTAAAGAGTGGACAGGCGTGGCGGTTACCGGAGACGGCGTTTCGAACGGTTTATCAAACGCCGACTCACTTACTGTTGGCTGGAGCGAAGCCGAGATTTGATCCAGAATATCGTGGGCATCATACGTGCTCGTATCATGCCCGTGTGCAGAGTGATAGCTGTGCAGGCTCGTGAATCCAGACGGTTTGTTCTGCTTCGTCGAGAGATATTTCGGCATCGGTTCGAGCTGCGAGGCAGAGAGTAGGTGAGAGTCGTCGAACCCATCAAACACACTCGGAGGAATCTGAAAAGAGGAAGGCAGAAACGATGTTTGAGCACCCAAGTGTAATATTGACTAACGGAAATGAATTCGATCAAGTTGTATTTATTTTATTTATCACATACCAGGTTGTTAGATCTTGACGGGAAAGACAGCTATAACAAGAAAGAAAAAATTATCAATTTAAATTTCTTTCGAACTAGGAAAAAGTTTTTAACTGCGAAAATTGCCAGCGAGCACCAAAGCGAACGCCAGTACTCGAGACCAAGCGGTGGACGCGCGAACGCAAACATTACAAAACGCATCAAATAAAAATTTTAGAATAAATACCGAGTGAGTAGATCCACGAATCGAGGGTATCCAGCTTGGCTCATTCATCTGACCTCCGGAAAGCGAAGAATTAGAGTAAGAAATACCATTAGAATGAGAAATAGGCACTCGAGATGACAGAGGAGGACTAAGGGTCTTATTTAGTAAACTGTCGCGATTCATCTCGGAGACGTTTCACAGTGAACTGAAGCCTTCTAGCATGGCGTGAAAATGTTCTTAAATGCAATGAGAGTGCCCGTAAAGAAAGAGACAATCATTATCATTGTGTTAACAACATTTGCACTTCACATGCACCTGTTTCCAAACAGATGCGCACGCGCAGTTTAAAAATTAATACTGCGCGTGCGCTTAACGACAGCTGAACCTGTCCTAGTTGACACGGTAGCAAGTTCCAGCTCTCGGCTGACCCGGTTTGCTGGGAAAAAATAACTCATTCATGAAACATCTGCGGGGGGAAATTGATAACAAAAATTTCGGCAATCACCAGTTACGGGTATCTTTTCATAGACCGACAAGATTAGGACCTGTGAAAACTGCTAGTAGAGTAGAGGAAATTACAGATGCATAACTTTATATCGTATTTCGAAGCTGCTTTTCGTACTAATAATCTTGGCGCGATTTTTTTTCCAAGCGGTAACCATGCGTGGAGTTGTGTGTTCAAGTGTAACATTTTTGTTACCAACAAATCGGCTTGAGACAATTAATCCCTTTATTAAAATTCATTAACGCACTTACAGTCTCCCCTCAATAAAGAAAAGAACCAATGAGCTCGAATTCTGTGCAATTTCCAATTCAAGTGTAATAGGGTTATTGTTTGGCACACGCCATGCACGTGTAAGGGGTCGGCCATCTCTCTAGCGCCATTGGCCGCTAAAACCAAACCTTTCTGTACGCGTAGAATTAGCTTGATGAATGAACTAAGCTCTATATTAATGAGTTCTGTTGGAAGGGAGATAATTACGACAGTTATCACTTTTCATTGGTTAAGAATTAATATTCGGAAAACAAACTCGCTGAGCTAATGATGGTAAACTGCACGAAAGTGAAACTAACAGAGGGCCGAATTGAACGTATTGTTGTCAAAGTTTTAAATTCAATCTTTAGTCAATGCACAATCATTACTTTTTTCGTTCTGAGCGTCAACTCACTTATTACAATCAAGCGAAACTCATCTTAGCCTTTATCTCTTTTCCTACGCTGATTACACGGCGTGAGGTGGAATTTTTGTGCTGACATGCGAAGCGTCATTGGCACACGGCGGCTGCTTTTATTCACCAAGGAACTTCAAAACATTGCAACTGTATAACGAAGAATAGAATACGACAGGTTGTTCACGCTCCGCCCTTAGCTTAATAGTCCCGCTCGGTAAAAAGGAAAAAAGTCCACAATGAATATAATTGAACCTGGTATAGTAATGTAAAATATTTTAGTTGTCTTTGCCTGTAAGGCAAAACCGCACTTTTTTAAATCCAACCCATATTTTCGATTAAAAGCACTCTAGATTTGCTTATTGAAAATTTGACTAATATACAAGAGTTTAAATCTTTGGCGATTATCCTTTCATGATTATGATTTTTTTTTACTATATTCTGGTTGTATTTTAAATCTTGTTGGAGGTTTCTCGATTACTACGGTGAAATGAGTGCATATCTGGAAAGTTCCTAATTAGGAGAGCGTCTCGTGTTTCCCCGCAATATATCGACGCAAATATTTGACTCTGTATACAGTAGTACTCGCAAACTTCCCCTCGACGAAGCTTATCTGACGCGAATTATACATACAAAAGAAATCGTTGTGATTCTAATACCCATATTGGTCTGATATAATGAAGACGATAACAAATGAAGCCATGTTTACCAGATGTCAAGCCCAGCTGTCCTTTGTCCAAGGAATACACGGTTTATTCGTTTTGTAGACCATCTAAAATTATCAATTCTTATACTTTTCTCTCAAAGGTTCATTTTAAGGTTTGCTAGAGACAAGGATTTGTATAGTTTTCCATTAATATTTTGGAATTATCTCCCAGCGAGAAAATGATTGCCAATGCAAATTTCCCAACTTTTTCAACACACTGTTGATAAAATGCTAATTGCTTACATTTGAGTTTATTTTTAAGATCTAAGCGGCAAAACGCGAACCCAAACAAGGCCCAAACGAATCGTGTTCAATATTGTAAAATAGTTCCAAAAAACACAAGAAAAGGTACACACCTATCCCCGATCCTTGAGTGAGTCCATTATCCGAGGACACCGCTTGTGATAAAAGGAACTGGCTTCACCTGTTATATTTTCCGCCATTTTAGAAAATTTGATAGCGCAACTTCTGAAAATAATCCTGTCTGAGACGCAGTGAAATTTTCCTTTCGCTGTTTTCTGAGAAAGCCTGTACGTCAACAGAAGTGAACGCGTCTCACAGTAAAAATTAATGTTTTCTACTTTTATTATGTAAAACTCTATCAAGTATTCCATTAAAAATAGACGGTCTTGCCAGTGTGTACATGACCGTACATAACTGAACAGTTTTCGAGGCGCAGCGATATTCATGTATGCATACCAGCGCTATCAAGGTTAACACATCTTTACGCAGCTTCCACGGAAACGGCGAAGAATAAATACGCTGAAATAACTATAGATTACGGAAAGCGTTCAGGAAATTTCAGAGACGACAACGTTCCGAAATAATTTTTTGAGAGTGTGCGTTTTATGGACCGTCCGCAGACATTCGCAAAGTATCAACTCAGTCGAATAATATTTAAAACTAGCATCAAAGGTAGGGAATATCAAATATTTTGATTTACAGCAAATAACGCGAGAAGAGAAGGGCAGGCCAAAGAGTAACCAAGTAAGCGTTGTTTTCAGCAATTCTAAATGCCATCGATCTAATTATCATTTATTATATTACGTGAAGCGGGCTTGGATGTCATTCATCTTATCACAGTTTTTTCCTCCTATTCCGATATCCCCTGTGGTTCCATAATTACTTCCAAGAAAGAAGCTTTTTATTTACTACGAAGCCGCAACCAATGAGATAGAAACATGATTAGCAAAGGGAGTAAAAGCTTTCGATCAAAAAGAAGACAGAACACAAGATTTAAGCCGACCGAAGCAAATTATTCTTGCGTAGCAATATCAAAACAAGTTTCTTGATGAAATAGAGCGATCAATCCGATATAAAATCTTAAGATCTGGTGAAGAAACTCGGTGGTATTTTCTAAAGTAGTTAGTTATAGGCAGTCAACGGCTTCGTGCATAAATTTTCTTGGAAATGAAATTGTTGTGAATCGGATTTTCTATTTTGGTCTGTTGAAACAATTATGGAACCCCACAAACCAGAATTCCCTGAGCTGGTGCTGTTTTGCTCTGCACGAAGCTACAGCAGGTACCGTGTTTTAACAACGAACTGGTACAGACTACAAGCTGTAAATTGGAAATGGTTTTCACTTCGTGAAAGCGATAAACATGGCAAAGGTTCTGAAATCGGAGACAGCTTTAATGGATCCCTCAAAGTCAATAAGCCACGAATAAGATGATTTCTTTGTTTCTCAAATTCATAGTTGTTGGTGCTTTTCCATGCGATTGACAAAGGAACATGTTCTCGTTAGAATTTATGCTATACTTGACGAAAACGTCAAAATATCCGGTATCTGGTGTGAATTCGAGCTGATAGTTCTCCATTTTTTGATAGCATTCCCGTCGGATAATCGCAAGTAAATTAAAAATAGTTCTTATCTCCATCGTATTTTTACTGAAATTATTATGCAAACGATCCCGGAATCATGCTCTGTTCGGCCAGTATCGAACTTTAACTAACTCTCAAAGCGGGTTTTGGAGATAGACGTAATGCACGTGAAGAGAAAATTGATGGTTTTCAAGGACGAATGCAAAACTTAACAATGAATTCAAAAAGCAAACTAAAGGTATAATTAAACCGCGAAAAGGGAAAAGTTCATTAGATTTTATCAGTAAATATGAAAAACGACTTCTTATCGTTTTCCCGCGGATAGATGCGTTTCTTTAATGAATATAGAACTTAAGATCTATAGGATCAGTATATTGTTAAATTTAAGTTGTAGGTCTCTACTAGAACTAGTGGGTTTCCTTAGAAATCAGACTGTTTTCCATTTCTCATCACTTTCTACTGTTATATATATCAGCGGATGAGAGATATATCTGAATGTATCTGAAGTAACAACTGCTGATAACTTTTACAACAAACAAAAACCAAAATCTGCCCTCTGAACACGTCAAAGGAAATGAGAAACGCCTATTTCGATTAAATAGGATTTGAAATCTTAGAATCTGTAAGCTGTCAGAGCGCTGCTAGATTTAAACTCAAATGAAGAAAACTTTACTGTTTACTCATTCAGCGGAAATCAATAATTTGGAGTAGCTAGCTTGCGTTGATTTAAATGAGTAAAAACGTTATTTAGATTTCATAACACTCCCTGCTTTACATACAGGTCTTCTCCTATAATTAAACTATTTATTTTGAAATGAATTCATGTTAAGCTTTATTTTAATTTCAGATTTTTTCGTTTCCTGGCGTTTCAAAAAAATCTTAATTAGACACTATTGTACTCGAATCCTAAAGAAATCATTAAATTACAAGCGCGTGTTTGTGGACGGTTCTCAAACCTTGAGTTTTAAACTATAAAACTAAGTTTTATATGTATATTCTTTTAAAAAGTTCCAACAGTTAAACGCTGCATTTCAGACTGTACATTAAAATATGGGAAGACTGGAATGTCTGCCCTCAAATGCATGGAAAAATTTTGATGTTGCTATGTAACTCGTAACTGGAAGGTGGCCAACCAAGACCGATAAAGTTGACTCAATGTTTAAAATATCTTACTGTGTATTAGGAGCCATTGACTACTAGTTGACTCTTTTAAACGTTAATCAGCTTCCTTTGAGCTGTTAACATGGCAACTTTGTAGTTATTTTGCTCTTCTCCTGAGTAACTGGTATCATGATTGCATAATGTTGAAAATCGTAAACTCAATTGAGTGACAGTAGGGAGGTGTTGGAGAATGCAAAGAGGGCTCTTAAACTTTTAAACCTTATAAAATTATCAAAGCAATTTATTGAAGACCCATCCAGAGATTTCTTTGATCGCTTACTTTATCTCGAGATTGTGAGATTCAAAGACGACCTATATTTTGACAATTTTTTTCTTGATTTTGTTCGTCTAGTCAGTGGTTTCATTTTATTTTTCTCAAACAACAAGAAGCTACTGGCATTTCGATATCATTGTAATCCTCTGATGGAATTCTCTCCATTTCATTGCTGAGTTGTTGGCAACTACAGTGATTATCTCAATCTTTCACTAAAGCTAAATTTAAAGGGGATTGAAATAGATTTTAATGGGAAAAGACGCTTGCTACGAGTCAAAACACATGTATGTAGATTAATAGCCATGTGGATGGAGGTGAATCTCACTCGAAGCATACCCGTACTGGCTGGTGACCCAACTCTAGGTGCATGTCCTAGCGACACAGCTTGTGTAGCCGAGTAGCTGATCATAATAGCCTTCGTGGGTAGCCAAAAAGAAAACGCAAACTGAAACTGCAACCAGAAAATTAACGCCCTCGATTTCCTTCAAAAGAGAGTTTCACAAAGCTGAGTCCTTTGTTTATTTTGCTACTAACTGGTTTCTCTCTCGTAAATGGACGCTTCAAACAATGGTTTCGAACGTTTTAAATTCAGTTTGGATTTTAAAGCAAGAGAAGATTTCGTGATTAACTCAACTATTTAGAACGAAGAGTATGCATTTGCTTATAATACGCTTGAAAGGATATACTATCACTTACTTTGTTGTTATAGATAAGGATGTTTCCACAAGTGTCAGTCCACGAAGAAAATCAACACCGACTGTTGTATACGACTAAACTATATACCCTGAGCCTCATGAAACATATCGTGGATAGGATATGTTCATGCAATCCGCAAAACTCATTAATTTTTCGCTAACTGCCCCGTCATGGTGTAACTATCGCTTTTAAATATTGGATTCTAAAGAGGATCGCCTCGCTCCCTGAAGGACTGAAAACTTGAACTAACGAAACTAAAATAAATTGATCCGCGAACCAGACTCGTCCGTTCGGAGTTAAACTTTTTTTAAGAGGCAGAGCTCACATTCAAGCTGATACGGCAGTGTACTGGCGGCTAACAGTGAAATATTTCTTACCAGTCAAACTTGTCTGTTTTGGGTGAGACTGTCTTGAGTCTGATAGGCGATCCAGGTGAGTTTAAAACCCACTCATGGGGAAAGATTAAAAACCTACTTATAATTAAGCAAGAATTTGAAGCTAGTTTTCTCATACACATATATTTTTTAAGGGGGATATAATTTAAGTTGCTTACGGCATACGCTAGAGGTACTTGCTAAAAAAATGTTTTAATTTCACGGCTGCTATCGTCCTGAGATGAAAGTATCCATTAAACGCTACAACGACGGAGATAAGAACTTACACTAGTACACTCAACGCGAACTTGGGTCATGAAGATTTGCTTTCTTTTTCGTGTTGCTTTTATCGAACAAAAGATAATTACAACATAGTTTGTAAACTGGCGTACTCAAATTCAATCGCTCGAACCGGCTTCATATTCCTGTTGCACAAATGACCTGCGCAAATGACATGTGTGTGCACTCATCAAGCGCAGTAGGAGAGTTGCAGAGGGCATTTCTTTTCAACTAAAATTAAAACCACCGCTTTAAAAATGTCATACAGCTGTGCTTTTATTGACATGTGAAAGATTTGGAGAGCACTTAATAGGCTGCAGTGTGTCCTGAATTCGCGCGTGTCATTTCACATCTCGCCATTTTATAGAAATTGCTTCTTCTGAAAGTGCTTAAGTAAATGGAAATCTCTGTAAACCTTTGACCTTAATTTTCGGTTTCACTGGAGTCATGATATTTACGAAAAACGTCTCTGCTATTTCTCTTTACTCGGCAGTATCTTTAAAAAACCATTCATTTGTATAAAACATGAAACGGGTATTTCGGTGCTTATTTTACCCTGACGCCTTCAAAGCTGTAAACATACAACTGTCCCTAGACCGGGCGGCCGGAACTCTATGATTATTTTATTTAATTGACAAAAATTTTACAGTTAGCTGCCATTAAAAGAGATTTATGAGGTTTGTACAGTCCTTAATGCTTGTTACTATTACCGCAAGGAATGCGTGATTCTTTTCCCAGATGCGTTCAAAGGTACCTTACCAATCTTGCTAACCGAAGGAAGTTAGACAGGTGACAAATTATTTTCAGATTTACCTTCCTGGTTTAGAATTGGCCTCGTGTGTGTTCCACAATAGGAAACAGATACGTTTTCTTGCGATTGTGAGATTTCTTCGGGTCTCTTTAGGATTGGAAGAAATGTAAACGAAATAATTTGTAGCCGTTTCACCGTTCGCTTCTGCTTCGAATATGATTCTTCATCTGTCGTTATCCACTGTTGAAGACGATAATCTTAAGTTTATCTGATTGCAGTCAGTTCTAAGTCTTGATCACAATTTCTAAGTGAGGCTTTTCAAATAATGCTTGTAATTTCAGTTGATTCCCAACACTAAAATAAGTAGTTGAACATCAAATATACTAAAACCAATCACACGAAACCGAGCCCACTCCAAAAATGGCGTTGATCTAAGAGTACTTTTCCCTGACTAGATGTTTGGCTGACACGTTTTTCTGACTATCTTAAGTTGAATGTAAATATTTGAATATCAACCAGAGTTTCATCATTTTCTGGTCGAACTGAACCGAGAGCTCCATGGCACAGAAAATGCACTTTAGCTCCGTTATTACAAAAATAGTGCAGAACTTTTAGAATAAATAATTCCTTTAAGCTCTTTTTTTTTTTTAAATTCGTGTATTTGTTCGAGTCATCAAACAAAAGGTTTGTCTAAGAATCTGCCCAAGACGCAATTAAACTAACACGATCTTTGGTTTTAACAACTGAGCTGATAATGTATATTGGCTACCGTAACGAGTTTCAAAGCTGATGTTTCGAGCGCTAGCGCTAGCCCTTCGCTCGAAATGTCAGCTTTGAAACTCTTTGCGGTGGCCAATGTACATTATCAACTCAGTTGATGAACCCGAAATTATCTTGTTACCGACGCCGGCAACACTACAGTTTCCTTAGAAACTTACCCCAGTTAACACGAACTTTTGCTCTTTTCTATTTTAGGAGCACGGGGTTGTGCTATTTGCAAATAAATATTTAACCGTCTCCATAAAGCTTGTTGAACTGAGTGACACTTATGTCTTACCAAAAAAAATTACGGCTTTGATTGGTTTATTTTTTGTAGAAGAACACTCCTGCTTCCATAATGATAAATTACACTCGCTTGGCTTTTGATGTTTCCGAAATTCGTTTTGAACTCAGTATCTCTTCTTGCCTAGTTTATATGTTAACTTTGTTAAACACAACAAATTGTAATCGACATTGGCTATAAAATAAACATTTGAACACTGCAGTTTTACTCATACGATATTGTTTTTGATCGAACAAAATCATTTTAAGGATTGTTATGTAGTACGGCTCTCGAAAGGCTGAGAGAAAATATGTGAAATTACCAATAAGTTTATCATTAAAAAATAATTCGTCTACCCATTTTCTTTGCAGGAAACAGTGACGAAATATCGTCGTTATCTACGGACAATGAATTGATTCCTTATCTGGAGACACCAAGAGCCAATCTCACTATTTTGGGAGTTAAGAAAAGCAGGGTGTTTCCCCAGAGAGATGGCTGTGTGAATATGCCACAAGAGTTTTTCAAGCATTAACTTCCTCGTGTTTACTTGAAACTAATTAGGAATCAAAAGTACAAGAACTCATTAAGGAGGAGAATGTTTTCAAAGAAATTACGATGACAAATGAATTTTTAATTCCTGTTTCTATTGATTACGAAAATAACAAAAATTTCCTCTCATGCACATTAACACCAAAATGCGAGCTTCGCTGAGACTTTTAGCCCAGGCAAGGGTTTTTTACCCCTCCTAGATAAGGAGTGGTAACGGGCAGGGAAGTGTTGTCGCCCCATATAACCCTAAAGGCAGATGGCCGATTCCTGGAAAGTCCTCTGTTCTCACTCTTGTACACCTGTTTATTTCAGTTATGAGTTGCGTTGACCAAAAGCTACAAAAACTCTCGCCCTAACATTTTATTTATTAAGAACTCTTATCCTGCCGTGTGGCGAGGTAGCTGCAAAATAGAGCAATTAATTCCTTCACTTTAATTGACTGTTGATGGCCACATGTTGTGATTCTCATGAGCATATATCTATCCTGAGAATTTATTTCTTCGGTCCTCTTTTGCATAGGTATCGGTTGATTATTATCGCAACTATTGCTTTATCGCCAAACTCATATTTGTAAACGATTTCAAATGAGCGCACGCAAGGATATTACGCAGCAAATCTAGTTTGAACCTTTAGGATGAGGAACAAAACAAAAATCAACGCCAATTCTAACCTCTAAAAACAGTGAAGTCTCTTGGAAGTAGAGATGAACCAGTAAACATATGAAGCACATGACAAAACGCTTTAAAAATAAGTTAAAAAAAAAACTAACCTTAAAACATAAGAAGGTTTAGGCGATCTTATAAATAAGTAAGTAATTAAAAAATCTCCTCTTTGCGTTCAGTTTCAGTTTGGGTTTAAAATCAACAATTATATATTTTGAGCCACGTTTTTATTTCTGTGTTTTCATGCCAGTTATTCTCGGCAGTCTACATCTCCTTGTTGGAAAACTTTTGCTAGTTTTGTACAAGGGGTTTGTAAAGAAAGAAATTTTCAAGTACTGAACTTGAAATATTTTTAGTGTTATTGACTTGATATGAATACTTTATAACGATATTGTCAATTTTTTTTAGGAAATTCCGATCTTCTAAGTTTTTTTGGTATCGCCCATGGTTCCAGAAAGGTTTCTTTGTGAATGTAGCGTACAATTTTTCTCCTTTATAAGTGCATTGCCAACGAAATTTTTCGAATTTAAACTAGCGTAACTTTTATAACGTTGACTTAGTAAATTTTATTTCAAAGCTGACGGCCTTGATTCGTTCAAGCTAAAAGATGTGCTTATTTCACCAAGTACCTGTCGTTGTCATGCCTTAATTCTTCATTCGTGCAAATTCGTTGGAAAAAATAATCACTTCCCCTTGTCTGATATTGGCTTAACTCCATTTGTGGAACAAAAGGCACATGTCTCGCTGTCAACCGGTACTCATTAGAAGTATTCTCTAGAAGTGTAGAGTTGAGCCGTAGACAATGAGTTTGGCAAGCTCATCTGTGCCAACTTTGGCGGCCAACGACTGTCGTCGGGATTTTGTCAAATTGCGTATTTTAAGTCATAAAGAAAATAATTTTGTCTCCCAGCATCATTTTGGCTACATACAAGAATAAAATAATTAACAAAACGTTCTAAATGCATCTTCTTTCTGTCTCGGGTGAGTGTGAAGGTTACATTCATGGTACCTGTCAGACACCGAGCAACGTAAATACATATTGATTTTGAAAACGTAAAAAATGAAACAGAATTGAAGCCCTGATGCATCTGTCTTGTTCCCTAACGCTTAATTTAAACTCAAAGGAGAACGTAGCACTTGCCTATCTCTTTTGTTGTCCGGATTTGATTACCCAACCTGGTATCGGGTGTGGTTAAACTGCTTTCGTTTAGTTCTTACAGTCGTTCTGCGTTTTTTTTCCTTCGCGTTTGTATGTGGGTATCTTCCGTTTTCCTTCCCAAACCAAACGTAACTTCCTAAATTCCAATGCGACTTGTAAAGAGAGAACAAAGAGGTACAAGTTTAGAAACTCAGTCTCTAATGTTAGGTCTCCTTCCCTCACTAATCCGTACGCATTGTGCACTGACCGCAATTCTGACTTCATTCTTTTGAAAACAACGGCTTTTCATTTTAGTGTGAACAAAATCTAAATATGGTATATTTTTGGCTAAAAATCAATTTCTTTTTCACCTGAGCCCAAGGATTCAGTTAAGTATTTCTGCTGCATGCGATTGTTGTACTTTCAAATTCATCCAGCGTGGTGCGTGGACTGTTTTCAAAGTGAAATCATCCCTTCTATATTTATTCGCTCCAAAATGAACGGGGCTTCAATGTCATAGTATTCGCCCATGGTTAGCTCGGGCTGTAGAGCGCCAGACTGCGGTGCGGGAGGTCGAGGGTTCAAGCCCCAGACCGGACCAGCACTGAGGGTCTTAAAATAGCTGAGGAGAATGTGCTGCCTTTGCTATGATATCTGCAAATGGTTAGACATTCTAGTCTTCACGAATGAGGACGAAAAACGGTAGGCCGCGTCTCCTGAATCTTTGTACTGGTTAGCCGGGGACGTTAAAGAACCCACACACTTATCGCAAAGCGTAGGAAACATAGCTCCCGGTATTGTGATCTGGCCTGTTTACTGGAAATTGGGGGCATCTGTTAGATTTGCCTTTATTCATTGTAAACTGCTAAAAGCAGTCTGGTAGAGTCTCCGAACTGTGCCGGTTGTAAAATTGGCCCTCAAAAGCCACATGGGGAGTCGTCAACTAACGTGTGTATGCATGTATGTAAGCTTCTTCAGTTGAAGGTGCTCACTGATGATATGACGGTTAGAACATTTGATCGGGTAGATTCACTTTTTGCCCGCCTTCCCTCCCCACCTCTTCCATTAGCCTTCCATATGAAGAGGGTCTCAATAGAGTTTGACCTTTAGTCGTAACAATGCTGAAAAATCAATTGTTAGGCGTAAATAACTGATAAAGATCTCACGTTCGACCGTGTAAACACTTAACCGTCAGACGTAAAACGGCCCAATAACTGACCCTTTAGGCGTAATATGCTAAAAAATTAGAGGCGATGGAGATGGATCGGACATGTCATGTGGCGGGAGAAGGACAACATCACCTGCACGGCCCTCCACTGGACACCTGAGGGGAAACGCAAGCGAGGACGGCCGAAGAACACCTGTCGCCGAACGGTGGAGGCAGAACTGAAGACCCTCCATCCCTCCTGGGGGACCACTCAAAAGATGGCCCGGGACAGACAAGAATGGCGTTCCTTTGTTGCTGCCCTAAACGCCAGGAAGACGTATGGGCATGAGTGAGTGACCACTTTCCCACTGAGATCTTGACAAAAGACATAAATAACACATTGCTTAGCCGTAAAAATGTGGATTAAACTTATACCCCATGTTATGAAATCGTTTACCCATTCGGAATCAATTATGTCAGTAGCCTCTAATTAAGAAAAATGAAATGAAATTTAATGGAGAAACTGAAAGAACACATAAACAGTTAATAATTAGAAGGAGAAAAAGGACGAGAAGCTATTCCCATACCGGGAGTCGAACCCGGGCCACCTGGGTGAAAACCAGGAATCCTTACCGCTAGACCATATGGGAGGCGGATACATCACCGAGGGAAGAAACCCCGGATATGTTGCGGCTTCTTCAACAGCGGTACGATTGTCTACGAGTCACCGAAGTCAAAACACTGAAAAGCAACCAGAACAGGGCCAGAACAGCAACGCGCATTAAAAGCTTCTTCCTCAGATTGTTACATGGTTTGACCAAGAAAGGGTGGGGTCAATATCCAGACCTAAGAGGCGTTCCTCTCGCGCTTGCTCAAGTTTCCTATCGTCTGAGAATAGTGTTAATGCACATTCTTCACAGCGGGACAGTTTCTATCTAGTACCAATAATGATGTATTTCGTTTTTTCCGGGTGGGCTACCATACCATGTTCTTTAGTCCATATCGCTCTACTATTAAGCCACTCCTATTTTCCCAGGAGAGCGGTAGGTCATTGATAAACAGGAGGAAATGACGTTTAGAAACAGAAAAGGAAAGTATGCGTCTGCTTTCGTTTTTCTTCTTAGTTTTTTTTCGTTAAGAAATATTCGTTTTTGGGAAAAAAAGGAAATGGCATGGAAAATAATGGTTATGTAGAGCAATTCTCAATTAAGGATGGAAAATAATCCGGAATCGCATTGCTTTTGCTTTATTTCGCTCCATGATTATTCGGCAGAAGTCTCTGAATCCTCCTGACCTCCCTCTCTACCCTCTTGACCAATCAGGAGCAAACTAAAACCAATCAAGATTTGATCGCAGGCGTTTCCCTGCGCTTAAGGTAGTTTGTTTGGTTTTACGTAGAGTTCTCATTGGCTCGCATTGGTAATTTCCTCTCCTCTAATGGGCCGCCGTAACTACTTTGGCTTTGGTTTTGAGACGCTAGACCCAAAAACGCTTTACATGTATATGCTCGACGACAGTTTTAAAAAGTTGGTATTTTTCGTTTTACTCGCCCTTATTTCAAGGCTTTAAATGCTCTAACACCTATAGATATCAATATTGCCATTTGTACCGACCTTCTGCCAAATATAATGTCTTGGTACGACGCAACAATGATTGGCAGCATAGTAGTGCCAGCAGAATGAAATGTTGCATTTAAAAACAGCATTTTACCTAAACGATCGATTTTGAGTGGCAGTTTTTAATTGGTGGGATGTCACCAGTTTACATTTGAAAGAAATTCAGTCATGGCTTCGTTTCCAGGTGTAGAAAAGTGAAAGACAATATTTGCACATTTACAATTTGACGTGATGACACAACAACAACAACAACACAACTTTATTACCCCATAATTTAGGAATTACAGTCATTTGTAAAAAACTGATCTGATAAACTTGTTTAAGGGTTACCAGTTCCCTGAAATAACTAAGTGGCAAAAAACACCAGAGAGCTGGTTTAAATAGTGTAAATTAAATATTTACAGCGGAGGTAAGACCTAAACTATCACACACACACACACACACACACACACACACACACATACACACACACACACACATACACGTACACACTTACAACATCAACATACAAAGATGATAATGATAATTACAGCAATAAAGACATTAAGCTATGTGTAAAGTAATCTATGGAGGATATATATAATTAAAATAGCTATGTGTAGAAAGCAATATTTTAATTTAATGTCATCAATATGCTGAAAGATATTGTTCCTTCAGACTTAATTCAAATTTTGAAAGAGAGCCAGTTTGACTTGTTCATTTATTGCATTCCATATCACGGGCGCCTGAAATCTTATATTGAATTTACCATAGTTAGTTCTTACTTTAGGGAGGTAATAAGACTGTTTTGCAGCAGATCTTGTATTATAATGATGAACTTCACTGACCTCACTGAAGAGGTAATAATCTATTCTTAAACCTATACATAAATATTGCAATCTGATATGATACAAGATCATGTAGTTTTATAATATTTAAGGTTTTGAACAGGGGACTTGAGTGCACATCAAATTGTGAAAATGCCATGAGGCACAATGCTTTTTTCTGTAAAGCATAAAGAGGTTTTAGGGTAGTTGAATACGTGTTTCCCCAGGTAATTATACCATATAGTATCAAAAAAGGATAGATCAGTGCATAGTATAGGCCAGTTAAGGTATTAATATCTACATAGTAACGGATTTTACTTAATATTTCGAGGCTCCTCTTCAGGTTTTTTGAGATATACTCAATATGCGGTTTCCATGATAAATTTGAATCTATAAAGACACCAAGATATTAAATATATCTCTCCTTCTTAAGATAAACATCATTTATCACTAAATTGAAATCATCAGATATCTTTTTTGAGAGGGATGAAATATGACATAACTTGATTTTTCGATATTTAGTGACAGCTTATTAGAGCAAAGCCATCTATTTACATTTTTCAACTCAGTGTTAATGTGCTGTCTTAACTGAGATTGCAATATCTTTGTGTCTTTAAAACAAATTAGTATCATCAGCAAATAAGTGGAAATCAAGGAGGCTTGAACATTCATGAAAGTCATTAATATATAATAGAAATAAAACTGGACCCAGTACTGAACCTTGAGGAATCCCACAAGGAACAGTGACAAGGTCTGATGTTGCACCATTTACTAAAACCATTTGCTTACGGTTTTTAAGATATGAACGGTAAACCAGTCCTTGGCGATGCCTCTTATTCCGTAGTATTCAAGTTTATCAATTACAATGTCATGATCTACTGTATCAAATGCCTTGCTGAAAGCCAAAAATAACCCACAAGAGAGATTATCCTCATCAACTGCCTTTTGCATTTTATCAATTATGCTAAGAATAGCGTAATCAGTTTAATGTTTAGGACGGAAACCAAATTGTCCCCTAGAAAATAAATTTTATTTTTCTAGAAATTTTAATAGCCTATTAGATATAAGTTTCTCTAAGATTTTATTAAATATAGAAAGTAAAGAGATAGGGCGATAATTACTGACATTAGTTTGTGAATATTTTTTTGTAAACAGGGACGACATTTGCAACTTTAAATTTCTCTGGTACTACTCCAGATGAAATAGAAGTATTAAATGAGTTTGCTAATGGGGCACATACAACATTTCTAATGATTTTAAGAATATTTACCGGCAGACTATATGGAGCAGCAGACTTACCAGATTTTAAGTTTGAAATTTGAAATTCAACCTCAGAAGGAGTAATAGGAAATAGATAAAAGGATTTTTTAAGTACTCTAATGGTAATTTATTTACTTTCGGGATTAATCTAGCCAAGTTAACTCCTACATTTGCAAAGTAGTTATTAAAGGCATTTGCCAGCTGTTTTGGATCAGTTAACTCAGTTTCATTTTGTATAATTTTGACAGTTTTCTGGTTCATCTTTTGTCTAAAGTGAACTATTTCTTTAATTCCATTCCATAGCTTTTTGCTATTATTAATATTATTAATATTCACTAGAAAGTAGTTATTGTAGTACAGCCTCCTACTAACTTTCATCAAATGGTTAAGTTTATTACTATAATATTTAAATTTATAATGATAATATGTAGATTTTGTCTTAAGGAATTTTTTGTACAGTGCATTCTTCACACAAATAGAGGTTTGGATTGCATTTGTTAACCATGGCTTAGAGTAAGATTTCAATTCTCGTCTAGAAAGTTGTTTTATAGGAATGTGCTTGTCTACAATCTGAGTTAATATTCTATGAAAGGACCCAAACATTTTTGATGGGTCTGACTTATGTTGAGAAAGTACTTGCCAATCTACCGAGCTAATCTCATCCACTAATGCAGAATCACTAAAATTAGAATAATCTCTCTTGTATAGTTTTATGCCTGGTGATAAATTTGAGTAATTATGTAAAATTATAAAATTTGGCAAGTGATCTGTTAAATCATATATTAGATTACCACTTATAATGAAATGTTCTTCTGAATTAAAGAATATATTATCAATTAATGTGGTAGAGTGGTCAGTGATTCTTGTCGGTTGAAAAATTTGAGGCTGAAAGAAACATGAGCCCAAAGAATTAATAAAGTTTTGCGAGTCAGTGTGATTTTCCATTTTTAAGAGATAAATGTTAAAATCACCGATAAACAAACAAAATTTATTTTCTTGTTTGATACTTTCAATGGTTAAATTAATGTATTCCAAAAAATTATCCAAATTGCTACTAGGATGCCTATAAATCACCCCACAAATGATATTCAATTGATTAGTAAATTCTATTTCAATCCAAAGTGCTTCAAAATCATAAGTGGATTTGGTATATTTTGATTTGATAATATACTTGAGATTGTCATTAATGTTTTACAACACCTCCTGCATTCGAATGGCTCAGATGTCAACGCGAGCCAAGATAACAAATATTGTTCATTTCATCTCATAGTGTTTTCTCCTCGTGTTTTTCGTTTCTAAAAAAAATCAAGTGGAAACCCTGGAAAAGCAGCAAGGGAAAGCTGAACAATTTCTCGGGGAAGAGGTTAGCAAACCTTTAACTCCTTTCATACTTCCTTTCATTCTTGCCTTACACCTCCCCCCCCCCTTGAATTAAATGCGGATTCTCCTTACGATATAGTAAACCATCCAGCAGAGAGGATTCTTGGGATTGCTGAAGAGATCATGGCTGTCAAAAAGTTCAATGCAGTGAAGACTCTTGCACTGAAGGATTGGGGAGGGTACAAGGACTGCTTATGATTAAGAAGTTAGTGTTTCCTCGGTTTGTCAGAGATTTTATGGATTAAGATGAGATTTGACTTTTACTTCTACCCTTATTTTATTTGAAGATAAAACTTGACATCACTGGCGACAAAGGTTGCCAAACAGATGACATAATTATACCGCCTGGTTACTACATAAATGGAAAAGTTATTCCAGAATCAAAACTTGCACCAACAGCACAGGGACAGCAGCCATTCACATTTCCATTTGGAGCTGGTGGATTGATAATGAACGGATGCTTTGGAAGTGGATATAAGCCTGGGGATCACTGTTACGACTCCACATGGGCAACCATCAAACGCATGGTAAGTTTAGTGGGATTAAACTGGTTTCAGCTAAGAGGGACAAATCATAATTTGACCTACAAATATAAACTAATAGGTATATTAAAACAAAAACAATCGTTTAGAAAACTAAAGAAAATCTTAATTTACACTTCCTGTTCCATCCGAAAACGCACACGTCAAATAAATTTGTTTTAACAACACAGTCCATCACCCCGCACCTCCTTTCTTCTCTCTGACTCAATCCGCGCACCCAACTGTCAGAGACAGCGGACTGGGAACTAGATATAATGGTGTAACTTAGCAACCGCGCGTTTGATGTGTCCCATTCCGATTTTCTTTAGAAGGGTACACAATGTAGACAGGCTACACGATAATATGTCTACGAAACTTGCGAAACAAATAGTAAACTCGTTTGGTTTTCGTCCAAATCTTGCAACGATCAATTATTCTAGCCTCCATAATGACTGGAAGGGTATTTCTGTCCAGTTCTTCACATTTAGAGGGAGCAGCCCCTCTCTCGTTCGAAAAGGTAAGTGGATCAGACAACGACGATGTAAGTTAGCTTTTAATTTGTTAGCTAACCAGCTCTAAAACAGAATTCGAGCCACCGAAACGAGGAAATATATTTTTTAGCTGACCCTAGAATTTTTTTTAAAAACAGTCATTAGCAGAGGATAAACCGTCTAGGCTACAAAAATCGAGAAAGTAACCGTCTAAAAATCGTCAAATTTTCTAAGAATCCTGTTTGGCTCTAACCATTTTATCCCACCAAAAATCTGGAGTTTTGTATCTAGCCTTATCAAATTGAGTGTGTATTGTTTTCTGGAGGGCAGTAAACTTTTAATGGTGTGTACCAATATCTAGAGGTTTCAAATTTGTAAAATTTGTCTGACTTTTAAATCCTACGTCTATTATTCATCTTCTTAATCTAAAAAAAAAAACCAAAACAATAACTGTTATATAACCGTTACAGTAAATACACATATGTAAATTTGTAAGTGAATTCATGTCAATGTTTTGTCATTTGTTATAAGTGCTGTTTGACTGCAATGGGATGCAGTGGTCACCAGACAAATGCAGGGTTTTTATACAAGAATGAAAGACTGCTTCTGTATCCCAGTTACGAAGGAGTAAGGCTAATGGTGAGAACTCCCAAGATGTGATTGTTAATTGACCCTTCTCTAGTTACAATACATTTCTTTGTAGATTGGTGTTAGGTCAAGATAACAACTTTTTCCTGATATGTTTAATTATTATTCACTGCACAATTATCAGGAAATATCTGGACAGTTGATTTGTCTGTACTGTAGAATATACTTGATTAACCGGTTGACTGCTTGTGCTTGGTTTCTCTATCTTCTTTGCTTTTCCTGTCTTACAAGAAATACACATGAAATAAAACAGCTGGATAATAAGTAACTTATAAGATGTTTAGCTGAGTGTTTTAACCTTAGAGGTTTGTCAAAATATGGCACAACTTCATACTACAACCTGTACCTCCGATTGGTAGGTAATTAGGCAATTACATGATAGTTTTGTTCAAATTTCCCTCTAGCATCCTCCTGGATGCCCATGCCGTTTTTTGACAACATCAGACATTGTCAATATTCCAGAAAATAACCTGAGTCGAGGAGTGAAACCAGCAGTAGCTGTCTTGCTTCAGTCATCAGATGGTTATGTGTTGCTGACAAGACGAGCACAACACATGCGCACCTTTCCTTGTGTGTGGGTTCCCCCAGGTAAATGTTCAAATGATTTTTTTACCAAACGAACTCAGAGCATGTATTGTACAAATGAAAGAAGAGAGGACTTAACCCCTTTCACCCCTCGGGGTGGCCACCAAGCAATTTCTCTCTATAGTATCCCTATATTTATGAGCAGAACGGTGAGTTATTAACAAGGAAAGGAAGCTATTAACAAGGGGAATATCATTGTACTGTAAATACAAAATATTGTACATGTAATAGACAGTTGCAAGCATTTTGCAATATTGAATGAAAAATTATATTCATATAATCTTGCTTTTGTTCAATACAGGGGGCCACATGGAGCCCGGAGAGACAGTAAGTTTACTTCAGCTGTGGTTGAAAATCTATATGTAATGGTACATAAGCATGTTTCCTTAGGAGGAAAAAAGAAAACTATCAAAAACAAAAGCAAGGAATAAAAAAAAAACCAATCAAACCAACACAAAAAAAAAAAAGAAACAAAAACAGAAACAAACCAAAAAAAGGTAAGACAAACAGACATGGACAGACAGATGTATGATCAGATAGATGAATGGACTGACAAATAGATGGTCAGACAGACAGAAAGACAGACAGAAAGACACACAAAAAAACAGAAACAAGAATTTCCATTTGGGAATTGTGCAGACAGGGATTTTAGTTTGAATTTGGTACTCATGCATGTACACCTCAAGCATCACCATGGATGTTTTCAGAGTGCAGAGAATTTTCTAGCTTAACAAACACCGCATACTTATTACATCTGATACAATGTTGTTTAAGAAATAATGTAAAATGTGTTGCAGGTGAATAGTCTAGCAATTTCCCAATATAAATTAATAAGTGTAATTAAATCTTGGGATATTACTGCACTGTAATTAATTGACCACATGGTGTGATTGTCTGGGTGAGTGTAGCTCTGAAAGGAATATTGTTCATGAAAATCTCTGGCATCTAGACATTCTGTTTGGGAAGTTGTTCTTGCATCTTTGACTCTTCTGACTTGTCAGGATTGTTAAATGTCATGCACTGCTAAGATGGAAACAGTCCATTCCCAGACTTTTGTCCCCATGATAATCACATGATTGTACACAATCAATGCCCAACTTTTGCATTCAAATCGTTACTTTTAATTATAACAATTTATTCATGTTCACTGATGCAATTTATTGATATTCACTGCCAGCTTAAACAAGCTTTACTAAGAGAACTCTCAGAGGAAACTGGATTGACTTTTTCTGAGGAAAGCCTTGAAATCTCAACACTTGGTCTGTGGGAGGTATTATTAAACTCATAGATTTTATTTTATCTTCATCTTAGTTACATATACAATCCATATGGTACAGTGAGCCCTTATTTCAGATGTGTCCTACTCTGTGCCAATGCAAATATTGCAAGATGCCCAAAGTGATATACCCTTTCCTCAATCATCCCATGGTCAAAGAATGGAGATAATTGAACTAGAGATCATCGCACATTTGCCCCAAACTCCCCTATTGAAGTGCAACCTTGTACATTTAAAGGTTATGATTATCATAAGCAAACTCCTAGAGCAGCAAAGGTGAAAAGAATTAGTGCTCCTATGAAAAGGGCATAGCAGAAGGGGGTGCTTGGGATAATTTTGTGTAACCATAGCTTGGTGATAAATTCTGAGCATCTGGCATAGTCAGTCACAGGCCTGGCTACATTGTAGGTAGCTCACAAGATAATAGGCCATGGCCAGCTTTTGAAAAACTACTGATTAACTGCATAACTCCACCTACATTTAAGTTACTTCTAGTTAAGAGGTGAAAACAATCTTTTCACAATGTTTTCTGATATTCTACATTGATTGGTTAATTGGTGCCGTAATATTTCTCTCTGGGGGTCATTGTGCTTTGTTCTTGTGCAAAATAATTTCTCTCCCACCCCTCTCTACCTATGAGTAATAGCTGAGTAACGGCAAATTGTTGAGGAAATTTTATGAATTTTTGGCAAGTAATCTGGGCTGGAATAGTATCCTGCCTTTGAGTAGCAACAGTACTGCTAGTCACTTGTACCAATGAAACGTGGGCGAGCTGTGGCAGTGAATGGCCAGTAAGCTGACTGAAAACTAATCCCTATAACATTTTTTGTATAAATTTGCAGTCAGTGTTTCCTCCCGTTCTGTCGATTGGTCTGCCTGTGAGGCACCATATCGTAGTGTACCACCTTGCCCAGGCTAAGGAAGACCAACAAACATTACAGGAGGGGCTTATTTTGAATAAAGACGAGCTCGATGCTTCGGCCTGGGTGGACCATGCTACTATAGTGGAAGTGGTACAAAGTGATGACTTTGGCCAGTCAAGACCAGTACCACAAAGATATATTAAGTTAGTTGTGTGAAATATAACCCATAATGCTTCAATGCGGCCTTGCGGTAGATCATTAGCGTGCGAGCAGGTCTTCCTCCTTAGAAATAATTTGGATATATCAACAAAGTTGAAATGGTAAATTGGCCACCGTAATGATTACAAAAGCTGACGTTTTGAGCGTTAGCCCTTCGTCGGAGCGAAAGGCTAACTTCGCTCCGACGAAGGGCTAACGCTCGAAACGTCAGCTTTTGTAATCATTACGGTGGCCAATTTACCATTTCAACTTTGTTGATATATCCAAATTATTTCGTTACTCCCACCGACGCAGCCCCTAACAGTTTCTTTCGAAACTATCAGCCTTCCTCCTTAGAGCTGCGACACCAGCGTTTCTTCGCCTGCGAGTAAGTTTAAGGCCTTAATCGAGATGAGTCCCGAGGGACTTTCTTTCCTTTTGGACTAATTCAGTTGGTTGTCATTTGTTGTGTCGTGGATTGTGGAATCAAACAAATATTCATGTCTGGAGAATTAGGCTTTGCGTATCATAACGATTTCCACAAGAAAAGCAGAAATTAGATAGCAACCAGAACGACAACAGCCACAGTATCAATGGCGATAAGGCAGCAAGAACACACTGTTGACGTGGCCTTAAGGCCTTAGGAAAGATTCTCACCTACTGTAGGTGTGTGTGTGTGTGTTTTGTAGTGCAGAAGTCTCTGCATAGATGTTTGTTAGATCCAACCTTGGGAACAGGCGTGTGAAGGAAATGGACGAATCAGTTAACTAATAAGTAGAAATTCTATAGTCTGCGCTAAAATCTCAAACAATGTTTAAAAGAATGTTTCTGTCTCGAACTTGATAGAGCCACTGTGCTTGAAAATGGTCAGAAAGTTGAGAAAAATCTTCCTCTTTCAATCCTGATGTCTACCATGCCTCGCACTTCAGAAGATGGGCAGGAGTTGAACCAGGAACGACTCTCCACAGGGACGAAGTTCGCTCTAGAACAGTTGGTTAAAAAAGATTTCCCTCCTGGAGGAGCTAAGAGCCCACCTGGCGGGGCGTGGTAGTTGATAAGAGTGTTGAATTCCTCAAGATGATAATCATAATCATAATAACAATTACAATAATGATATTTAAGACTTATGTGCAAGCGTCTTCTTGCCCATTAAGGGTTGAGTCATATTTCTTTTTTTTTCTTTTAAATATTTTTCTAACATTTGTTTGATAAGCTCGGCGTAAATAATTTTAATACTCGAATGATATATTTTATCCGTAACAACGATTTCGACAATGAAAACGTTGATGACGATGATGATAATGGTAAAGTTCGGGTGGAGGCGTGTGTGTACATCCAAGTTTTTATTAATTTTTTTTTAAAAAAAACTTTTTTGATGAGGTCTGTATTGATCACAGTGATGTAAGATTTGCGAGAAAGCTAATTTTAACGGTAAAAAGTACTTCTGAGGAGTTTCCCACAATCGCCTTAGTCTCTACGTCGGTGGGGGGTGCGGTGGGGGTATTATAAGATAGTTTGTCTAATAAAATGAGTTGATAATGTGAAGAAGAGATTTTTTCGAAGAGAGTTTTTCGAGTGTGTAAAGAGGAATTATGGGTTGTGTAAAATTGTAAGACTGCACATGACAACCCCGAAAGGTATTGTACAGTAGGTAGGCTTTAGGTGACCTAGGTAGGTAGGTAGGTTTTCTTGACCTTAGTATTTTAGGATATGGAAATCTGAGAAAACGTCACTGTAAGGACTAGACATAGCGGGTTTGATGAATTCATTTATTTATTTATTGGACTCATAGACATTCATGATTACGGGTTACCCCAGATTACCTTTCGAGATTTTCGCATGCACTTTTTTCCGGCAACCTTTCCCGAAACAGCTGGATACAGATGAAGCTACACTATATGTGGAAACAATTGGAAATCGTTGACTGGTTGAAAAAAATCAGTTTAGGAATTTAAAATTCCTCAAAGCGCACGGGTGTTTACTGTAACAATTATATTCAATTTTTGTTTAGTAGAGGATTTATGTGTTGAAGGGCACTAAGAGGGCGTGGAATGACGCTGGTCAAAAGCATTTTCTTGATTCAATTTCATTCGACTTAAGTAGGATTAAGGTTTTGGGTTGAAATATGTTGAGGTGGAATTTGAAAGACACGTGTGCGAATTTACCGTGTGGTAATGATGGCGTTGGCCCAGTATTTAACTCTCCTATAAAGCGCGCGTTCTGATTGGTCTATTCAGTGTCAGCCATTTGCTCATGGGTGTACACTGCCGACGTGAACAAATGCCAAGAATAGTATTCGCGCGCTTGTTTTTTCTGGTCACGCAAGATTTGTTAAATAAAAGGGAAATCTTTGGCTATAATGTATCAATGTTATGTTGTAAGACACTGGTAAACAATACAGCGTACACTATTAAGTTATGGATGCACTTGGGAGGTTTACACAACACTCTATCGCCTCGCGCGACTCTTACGCTTCCTTCCTAATCAGCAACCTCACGCGTGCATGCTGCATATCTCAATAGTGTATGCTGCAGTGTTAACCATTTGTTTATTGGTTTGTTCTTTTTTTACTTGTGTCTTTGTCACTTTTTTAAATCTGTTTGTTATTTGATTTCTTCTTTATTTCATCTTTTTGTGAGGAAATAAGCAACACATTCGTGTGGTGCAACGCGATCCAGGCGATAGAGACTGACATCTGTAGATCCCAAGGATTCAATTGAATTTTTTCCACGAGCGGCTGCTGATGTTGTAATAGGTGGCAGTGCACACGAAACCAAAGCACGAGAACTTGCGAGCAGGTTACACTGACGGTGGTAAGAGGTCTTGTAGGGGGGTGGAGACTAGCTTTATCGAAACCCCTGTATAACCGGATTAAAACGACGCCTCCCACCTTCTTCAAGACTGCACTCCTCGATCGTGAAGTTAGTCAGGCTTTCCAATCGGCTCTTACAACTGAGGCGTAAAAACATGGTGTGGTGTGTACTGCACCACAAAAACAAAACAATTTCAGCCAAAACCGAAAACACGCTGATATTTTTTGCCGAGAAAACCGAAACACTGTAAATCGCCACCGTTATCAAAATCGATTTTCGATGCAAAAACCAAAAGTTAGCTAAAAAAGTGGTGAAAATCGAAAGAGAAAAAATCAAACGCCACTATATATTTCACCTCGTTGCGTACAGGCAATCACATGGGATAAATCAGCACAAGTAAATTTTCCAAAGGCTTACGAAATTTCGCAAGCCCGTAGGACGAGTACAAATTATGTCTTTCAAAAACTTGTGAGTGCTGAATTATCCTCAATTGCACGAGAAAAAAATCATGTTGAAATTTGACTCTGTTTTCCTCTAAGCTGTGTTTGTGACTCACTGGTGCGCCGGCTTGCCCTTCGATGTTGTTGCCGGAGTGGTCGGGGCTTTCCGGCAAAAATTTGTTTGGAGCTTATAAACTTTCTGTCAGGAATAATTGAGTGCTTGCACTCTTTTTCGGTTAGAATTCTATTCTTAGATTATTGTCTACTACTTGGATCGTTGGATCAAACATCTTCCACAACTGGAAAGAACTGGGAAATGTTGATTTGAGTTTGGCGCTAAGCTTAAAGAGCTAGAAATGATACATATCAGAGCTGCTAGACTGATACATAAGTTACCAAAGGATGATGATATATTAGCAAGAGTTGGTTGGATGCCTCTTGAGTATTTCTATAAGTTTCGTATACCAACTATTACTCGCATGGCATTTTATGGCTTGGGCTTGAATGAAGTAAATTCCTTGGTTGTTAGGTGCTCTAATAGCTATAATCTTAGAAAGTCGCTGAATATTTTAATTGATAGACCTAATACTGAACTTGGCCGTAGTTCTTTTGCACACAGAGCAGCAACTGCCTGGAATTCCTTACCAGATAATTTAAGACACTTTTCAAACCCAATTGCTTTTAAAAACAGGCTTTAAAAGGCAAAAATGATGTTGTAAATATAAATTTTGGAAGGGAGGTAGCTCTTTTGTTTATAATAAGAATGCGAATTTTTACTATTTCTGATATATTATGACACATTTATACTGTTTTTTTATTTAATACTTTACTCTAGGCTTATTTATCTTATTTTACGTAGATAATATAGTAGGTCCACATAAGCTGTAAAGTTGCCAATTTTTTAACCTACTTATCAAATAAAGATATGTATGTATGTAGGTAGGTAGGTAGGTAGGTAGGTTGGTAGGTAGGTAGGTGGGTAGGTAGGTAGGTAGGTTGGTAGGTAGGTAGGTAGGTAGGTAGGTAGGTAGGTAGGTAGGTAGGTATGTATGAGTGGGGATGATTGTTTCATTTGTACCCAGGTTACAGGATATGGACGACATGGACTGTTAGGCAGCAAACGAATTTTTAGGTAATTTCTCCCTATAAATTAGACTAAACAAACTGCCTAATACCTCTTGCTTCATTCTGTTTTCATTTTGAAACTTTTTTGTCCGCCTCCAAAAAAAAAAAACCAAAAGAAACGGGGGCCATTTTCGAAACATGTAAGGGAATATTCAAGTACAGAGGGAGAACAAATCACTTGTAGGCATTGTATGAGAGTGAAGGGAAAAAGGGGAAAATGAGTAATTTTAGTCTATACATAACGGGTGCTGATTCAAAGGAAGGCGCTCATTCAAGGACTTCCGGCATATCTTAAGAGATCCGATAGTGGAAACACTTCTGGTTTTCCGTCGGTGGTTAAATTGAGTGCGCATGCGTTTTCGAATTGTTTATCTTGGATCTTCCTCCAAAAAACTAGCAGAAAATTTTTAAGTATGATAATCGAGTTTAGAATACATCCCAATATTGAGTAAATAATCTACCGCTTTGTTGTAAACATCACATTTACTCAATGTTAAGTTCACAAGCGTGATAGATCAAGCTTTAAGGATCGATCGTTTAAAGACGCTTAATTGTTTTCGTTTCCGTGATTTTCACTTGCCTTGGGGGAGTAATTTTTCTTTTAGTCTAGCAAACTGAAAGCCGCTATAATATTTTTTAGAGTTATTTCATTCAAGAGGCAACATAATCTCCAGGCAGACAAAAGCTTGAAGTACAAACACTAAATGAAAAATATATCTATCATAATTCAGCGTTTCACCGCTCGAGGATCTTCCGGCCTACCTCTAATGTTTCAGAAAATAAACCATTTTTTAGTGTCATTAGAAAGATTAAAATCTTTCTAATGACACTAAAGAATTTACATATATAAATCCACCAACGCTTGATCGAATGTAAAACTGTTTGATTTCTCAGCATAACTTATGCTGAGAAATCAAACAGATTATATCAGGATTGTCGCAGTTAATGCTATCTTAAATCCAGAGTTCAGCTAAGCACAATATGATTTAAATGTTTTTTTTTTTTTAAGATCCTAAGATATATAATGAAATATTCCATGAGCTCATTGATACCGAAAAGAAAACAATCGTGAGACCTGAATAAATTCGTGGCGGCGGAACTAATTAAAAACAGGTGAAATCCAACCGGATGATTAGAAATGAATGAAGCAGTTTCTTTCATTCCGTCTAAAAAATCAAACCAAGTGACATCTATCTTTGATTCTGAAGAGGACACCATACTTTCTTAGCGAGAAAAACTGATCTAATTTCTTGACGCCTAAAGTTCATCAAATATTATTTTTGATTCATCGATCCATCGCTTTAATCATAGAAATGGGCACATGAAGACGTCAGTAAGAATCATACAGTGAGACGATATATGCAAGAAATATGAACCAGGCACTTTTTGACAGATGGAGCACAGTTTTCGTGTTCACCGAAATTTTGGTGTGCTTCCTTGGAATTTCTTTGAATGGAATTGTGATCTTTACTCTTGGTAAAAATATAAATCGAAAAATTTCAGCTTCAAGTTATTTCATCTTAAGTATGGCAGTGAGTGATTTTCTCTCATGTGCTTTGGCTGTACCCCTCGCGATCGCGAGACACTTCCAGGGAGAATGGCCGCTTGGTAAAACTGGCTGTAAGGCCCATGCTTTTATGATATTTCTTCTTGCACTCGTCTCTATCACTCACTTAGTCGTAATTTCATTAGGAAAGTACTTAACAATCACCAAGTCTCTCTCAAGAGATTCTTATTTCAACAGGAGAAACGTAGTGCTGTTAATTGTGGGTTCATGGATGTACTCTCTTGTGTTCAGCGTGCCGCCCCTGTTAGGGTGGTCCAAATATGGCTTAGAAGGAATCAACATGACTTGTTCAGTTCAGTGGAAGTCATCTGCTTACAGCGATTGGGCATATTTTGGAGTTGTTATCTCCTCCTGCTTTTTCCTGCCCTTATTTGTAATCATATCATGCTATTACAAAATCCACCGAGTATCAAGACAAATTGTGGCGAACACCTCTCGAAGGGGCGGGATAGCAATAACGGCGTCTCGAGCTCTCATGAAAAGACACCGAAAATCTGCCATGTACTTTCTAATAATCATAGCTGCATTTTTGATGCCATGGTTGCCTTATGCCACAGTTGCATTTCTTTTAGCTCTTGGTCATAAAGTGAATCCTATAGCTACGAGTGCCTGTAGTGTGTTTGCAAAAATCTCGTTTTTCCTCAATCCAATGCTTTATGGGATTGTTCAGAGGAAGTTCCGTCGGCGTTTTATTCACCTGGTTCCTCTAACTAGGAGGAATCGGAGTGTAAAACCATGGTCAGCGGTATTACCTCCAGCATCGCAGACCTTGGTTCTTTAAAGACAAAGTTAAACTCTTTATTTTCTAGGTATTTGAATGCTGACAGACATTTCTTACGTTTCCTTTCTTCGTTGGGAGTTGTAAGTGTCAACCGTCCTTTAATAAAATCTGAATTAAGTGGCAATTAATTGATCGTGGAGCTGTATTCACTGGAAATTGAATGCGTTGCACGAGTTCTAAGAAAAGAACAACAAGGAACGTATTTGTCCCTATTTATTTTGTTCTTATGTAACAATTTGTGTCGATCGCTAAGCTACAAAATACTTCTATTTCTTTATATTAGTGCACTATGTACGATACAAATGTATGAACTTTATTAGCAAATAAAAGTTTTTCTCGCAAAAATTGATAAATCGAAAGTGAATAACCTTTTTTTCCTTAAAAAGTGCAATATCAAAATGTTCTCCGAAAATTAATTAAGCTTTTCTTTGGAGTGACGCAAGTCATAAGAAGCAGAGGCGTTAGATTTGATTGTATTCTAAGTGTAGAGCGAATCGATATTGTTGGTTGAGCATCAAAACATGGGTTCGCCCTTACGCGTCTGCTTATCCCTGTCCACACCCCGAAAACCACATTCACTACTTAATTAATGAGAACTTAGCGCAAAAAGTCGTCAGAAAGCTTCATTTGCCAATCGTGTCTCGAAAAAAGGCTCGCTTGTCGAGATGTTATTTCTACAGACGCCTTAAGTGATTGCAGCTATCAACTAACCTCCTGAGGTCATATGCAGCGGATTCTAGAAATTAAGTTCCGGCAACAAAGGTTGTATTTCACGTGAATCTGACCCCTTTACTCAGTCCAGTCAAAGAGGATGTGTCTTCTGCCATAATTGCACCCATTATCCCTTCCATTGGTTTAGGGATTGGTTTACGTAACTGCTTCTGCTTCTTTTTCAGCCAATACAACGGCTCCAAACCTGAACTCAACGGTCGGTACATCGACGACTGTATCGGCGCCACCTCCTCTACCAGAGAGGAGATGACTCAATTCATAACCGCAGTCAATTCTTTTCACCCGGCTCTGAAATATACCTGGGAAATTTCTGACAATTCTTTATCCTTTTTAGACATCAAAGTTTCAATTGAAGGCAACGGTTTATGCACTAGTGTGTATTACAAACCTACAGACTCGCATAATTACTTGTTGTATTCGTCTTCGCATCCATCTCACGTTAAGAATTCCATTTCTTTATCTCAGTTTCTAAGACTTCGTCGTTTATGTAGTGATGACTCTGATTTCCACCACAAATCAGAGTCAATGTGCTAGTACGTTTTTCGATAAACGTGGTTACCCTGATTCTGTCGTTCAAGCGGGTTACCACCGCGCCCAACTTATTGATCGACATTCAGCACTACAAACGTCACAAAAGGAAGATTCCGACCGAATTCCATTCACTCTCACATGTCACCCTCATAACCACTCAGTTAAATCCACCATTCTTAAAAACTTTAAATTACTTCAAAACGATCCAGAGACAAGCACTATCTTTTCGCAGCCTCCGCTCATTTCATTTAAACGCGACAAAAACATAGGCAATTTTTTGGTCAGAAGTTCTTTTCAGACTAATGACCAACCAGGCACTTTTAAATGCGCTCGTGCACGATGCAAAACGTGTCCTTTCATTCACAACACTGAGAAAATATCGGGACCCAAACGATCCATTAAGATCACCGATCCCTTCACGCGTACCTCCGCCAATGTAATCTATTGCATAACTTGCACTTATTGCAAAAAGATTTACATCGGGGAAACAGGCGGAAGACTAGGTGACCGATTCCGAGAACACCTTCGCGACGTAGAGAGGAATGACAAGGACACATCGAAACCAGTCGCTAGACATTTTAATTTACCTAACCATTCTAAGCAACACATGGCAATCTGCGGTCTTTCCTTACACTTCGGTAGCACGGAAAGCCGGAAAACTCTTGAACAAAAGCTCATCTTTCAAACCGGCAGTCTAAATCCCACAGGTATCAACGAACGCTTTTCATTCCACTAATTTATTCATGTTTTCGTTGCCATGTTCCCACCAATCACGTAGCTCCTTTTTCTACCTTTAAAAGCACACACAACCCACAATTCCCCTATTCGCTCCGATGAAGGGCTAACGCTCGAAACGTCAGCTTTTTTAATCGTTACGGTGGCCAATTTACCATCTGAACTTTGTTGATATATTCAAATTGCCACTGAGATTGGTGCTTTCGCGGAAGGGACTTCTATGGACGCGTCACGCCAACGCAGCGGTTTAGTAAATATACCTTTTCAGGCGGTTTGTATGTCGACTGATAACGTCCGCGGCTGAGATATTGTCTGAATAATAAATATTTTGCAGCAAAGCGAAGCTTCGAGGTCAAATGTGAAATTTTGATGACAATCTCTCAGCCAAAGACATTATCAGCAGAAATGCCCGCAAGTTAGTATCGCGCGTTGACTTTTTTTGTACTCTCCGGAGCAGTATTTGAGATAAGCTTTTTAGTGTCCCCACTTCTGGACTCTACGAAACGAGTTGGTTTTTTTTTTTTTTCATGCAAAGTAATTAAGATGAAAAAAAGAAAAAGAAAAAAAAAAAAAAAAATGAGACCCTTGAGTTTTTGCCACTGGTTTGTTTGTTTTTTTGTGTGTGTGTGGACGGAAATAATCAGAGGACAAATATCGACATAATCGGGGGCAATTCCGTGATAACTTCCCGGTGATTTTATAGCACGCGACGAAAAATAGCTAATTGAGTCGTGCGAAAATAAACATTCGGCTGTCTTTAAAACAGGGAACGGGGATGGGGAATCTTTAAAATGGGGAATCTTTAAAAGCGTGAATCTTTAAAGCGGGTAATCTTTAAACTGGCGAATCTTTAAAATGGTGAATCTTTGAAAGCGGAATATTTAAAACGGGGAATCTTGAAATCGACCAAACTTGGAAAAAGATAAAGACAGACCGGCTCAGACTTTCTTATGGCTTTTTTGGTCGCGTCGCATTTTCGCCTTCAAATCATATTTTTGCTCTACAAGCTTGTTCTGAAGAGATTTTCCCTTTTTGTAAGAGATTATTGGAGGTTTTATAAAAATTGTTTTCAGTAAGAGCTGATTGTGCATCAGACTCCAATGTTCCATCAATGATTGTTTTAAATTTTTTACTACCGAGTGGTGCGGTGTAACAAAAAGCAATAAACGTTGGTGACCTTTTAGCTTCTGTGTATGACCCGATTGTCTAGAGGCAAGTTGACCCCTGCCGAAGACCTTTCTATGATGCTTTCTGGGTACCGTACCCTCTTACTCTGAGGCGTTGTTTGAATTTGAAAAGGCTCTCTTCTGAAGAGTTAGTTATGAGCAATCATATTGCTTCTTCTTTAAAACCATATAGAAGGGTTAATTCTGGGAATAAAGCTAATTTCAGTTGTTTGATGAAAATATATCTTACATACCTCTTTTAAAGATTCCCGCTGTTAAAGACTCTCCATTTTAAAGATTCCCCATTTCAAAGACTTCCCCGTCTTGACGATTCTCGCTTTTAAAGATTCCAACTTTTAAAGATTCTCTATTTTGGAGATTCCGCTTTTTAAAGATTCCCAATTGTAAAGGTTCCCGTTTTAAAGATTTCTCGTTTTAAATATTTCCCGTTTTAATGACTCCCACTTTTATTGATTCCCCATTTTAAAAAAACCCGCGTTAAATATTCTCCATTCCCTGTTCCCTAGTCCCCGTTCTTGCATTCTTCTTTCCTATTTTAAAGATAGCCTCAACATCCTAAGGTCATATGGAGCGGATCCTCGAACTAAGTTAGGAACAAGGGTTGTATATCACGTGAACTTCATCCCTTTACCTATTCAAAATGTGGTTGTGCATGTGTAGAACGAATCGGTCCTCTTGATTGAGCATGAAAATATAGTGCTATAGCGTCACGCGTCTCTTTATTCTTAACCACAACACGAAACCCACATAAGAGCACTGACTGAGAGTTTAGCACTTGAAGTCTTAAAGAAAACTTCATTTTCCAAACGTGTCTTGAAGGAAAAGTTCCCTTGTCGACCACTGTCGCAGATGGGGTTTCTACAGACGCGTCTCGCTATTGCAGCTATATAAAACAATATCGTGAGGCCAAATGCACCGGATTCTAGAACTTACTTACCAGCAAAAATCCTTGAATTTCACGTGAATCTTACCCCTTTACCCAGTCCAGTCATGGCTGATCTTTCTTCTTTGATAATTACACCCATTGTCCTTTCCATTGATAAGAACAGATTACGTAACTGCTTCTTAGATTGGTGCTGCAATCGTGTGGGTGTGCATAACAATTTATCATATTGTACAGCAAGAAGCAGTTAAATACATCCTCATTTTTTATTTTTCCTTTTTATCACAAACAACTATCACCTCATGACGCCGGTCGAAACGATTTGAATAACTTCGGAGTTCACTTTTCATTACACAAACGACAACGTATTAAAAGGCGAGAACAAAAATTTTGTAAGTTTCTCATTTGAAAACGCTTTTGAATGAAAGAATTTGATTTAAGAGACTTGACCATTTCAATCGCTAAATAAATTAGATTGTCATCATTCGTAAAAAAATTATGAAAAATTAGCAAAAAAATGACGACAAACTGGTTTGCCAAATTGACCACACGTTTTTGAAACAAAGCTGCAAATCAATATTATAATGTGTTATGTAATATGTATTTATATCTTCAGCGCGGAATTATCGCTTCTTTAAAGTTTAAACATTGTTTTTAACGTTGCATAAACTCCTAGTTACGTTTTGATTATTGCAGTTTGTTTTGAAATGGTAAACCCCTGGCTTTCCGAGATGGTTAACAACGAAATCGAAAACTTTCAGCTGTCCTCAAGTAAGGAAGAAAAGTTAATGGCTCACCACGTGCAAAAACATCTACCCGGATTGAGGGCACGTGTTTGCGGCCAATACACGAGACTCAAACCGGCGTTCGTGCTCCATGTAGGCAGTTTCCTAGTAAAAAGACATAATATCACTTGATAAATGATATCCGTTGCATAGGTTTTGTTAAAATCTTAGTGGGTGTATAGGGGGTAACTTCCCGAAAAAAGGAAAACATAAAGTGGAAACAAGTGGCAATTGAAAGGATATGGAAGAAGGAAGCGTGAAGCATTGAACGACGCAAGAACTTCTTTTTGCCTACTGAACTGTTAACATAGATCAACACTCAAGAAAAACTCACGAAGGATGACTACCACTCAAAAATGGAACACAATCCTCGCAGTCACCCAGCTGCTGGTGTGCCTCTTAGGAATTATTCTTAATGGCATCGTGATGTTCACAATTTTCAGAAATAAGCACAGGCGGATATCAGCACAGACGTATCTCATCCTCAGCATTGCAGTAAGCGATTTCCTCTCATGTGCGTTGGCTGTTCCACTCTCGATAGGAAAGTACTTTTTAAGAGAATGGCCTTTTGGTATGGCTGGCTGTCAAGCTTACGCCTTTTTGATATTTTTACTGACGTTCGTTTCCATTACTCACTTGGCTTGTATTTCTGCTGGAAAGTATCTTACTATCACTAAGTCTCTTTCAAGGGACTCTTATTTTAACACGAACAAAGTATTGTGCATTATCTTGGCCTCGTGGATTCTCTCGCTTTGCTTCAGCTTGGCACCTTTGGTGGGATGGTCAAGGTATGACCTTGAAGGAACAAACATAACGTGCTCAATCAAATGGAATTCATCTCATCCAACTGATAAGGCATACTTTGGAGTTGTAATTTTTACCTGTTATGTTTTACCCTTGGCTGTGATCATGTTTTGCTACTTCAAAATCCACAAAGTTTCCAAACACCTTATAGAAGATACTTATCAAATGAGGGGGCTGGCTATGACCGCCACGCAAGCCCTCTTGAAGAAGCATCGCAAGTCAGCCATGTACTTTCTCGCCATCATCGCTGCTTTTGTAATTCCTTGGACGCCTTACATCACAATCGCCTCTCTTCTGGCGCTGGGAAAGCTTATCAATCCTGTAGCTATCAGTGCATGCAAGGTTTTTGCAACAGTTTCGTTTTTCTTAAACCCAATATTGTACGCCATTTTCCACCGCAGGTTTCGACGGCGTTTTATTTTATCAGTTCCCATTACTAGATCGAGACGAGTTGCGGTTAGACCTATTGGTTTGCCGTCAGTGTCGCGGACTTTAGCGCTTTGAACGGGATTCTCAGCAATCTTTCACTATATTTATACTCAATACCGTGAAGACATCAAATGACTTTCATTTGGACCCAGTTGTACCACAGAAGTACCAGTGGAGCCCTGACGCGGGAACCATAAAATCCTCCTTGAATATATACTAAATTCAGACCTCATCTAATCATCACGTCCGTGAGTTTTTTGCTAAAGAAACAAAATGGAATGTTATGAACATGCAAGAGCGATTTTATCAAAGCTGTATAAACGATATATAAAACAAGAATAAGTCATTATAATTTCAAGGAATATGTACTTATTGACTGAGAGGGAGGGCCGGAGGGGAAAATATGATGAAATATATTATTTTCAAGGAATATACAATGGACACTCGTTTAACGCTATGGAATTCTGATATCTTTGGAATTTTATTCTCCGGGCCCCGGTTGTTCGAAGGGTGAATAACGCTTTCCACTGAATAAATCTCTATCCCGGGGATAACGTGGTACATTTTGTTAACACTTATCCACCGGATAACGGTTTATCCGTTGGATAAAGTTATACACCATTTAAACAACTGGGCCCGGGATATTGCCGACTACGAGATAAAAAAATCTGGAAATCAGCTTTTGTGGGGAAGGTAAGGATAGATGGGAACCATCTACAAAGTAGTAAGATTTATTGTATAGTTTTGTGGCTTATTAAAACGGCTAAACTTGGTATTATGCCTGGAAGTACATGAGTGGGGATGGAAGAACTTCATTTATTGTTACTGATTCATTTATAAATTTCGTTTCAATGAACTGCATTTATACTGAAAATGGCCGCTTACATAAGGTCAGAGTACCAGCGGGTCCATGCATGCTATTCCTGTGAACATTTATTATCATTTGATAATAAAGTTAAGTCAAAAAGTTTAAATCGACTGATAACTTGAAATTTACTCTTCTTTGAAAAGTCGACTTGAATTGGTTCATAACATAACAAGGTTCGTACTTTGATGAAGCGATACCAATGCTCTGCATTTAGCTGGTGATATTTGAACTCTGGTTTCAAGGTAATATCTAACTAATTTTAGAATTACTCCCTAAGCCGTTAAAATGAATCCTTTCAACTGAGCCTACTGAAATTGTTAAAAGGGCTCATTGTGGAAAAAATCCAAAACCTGTTGGTTCCGATTGCGTTTTTCAAATTGACACAGCTATTTATCATTTACACTTGAAAATTATTTACTTAGAAAAGACATGCATGTGTTAACATTTATTAGAGCAGCGTTAAACACAGAATAAGAACATCTGGAAAATAAAGAAGGGGAGGAAAAGAAAGGAGGATTAATGCTCACAAAGTTGGTTTTGTCTTTTGTTTTCTTTCCAACAACGTGGTAACTATAGCTACTGACCTTCACTTGACCTCTTTTTAGTAAAGATTTGCGGTTAAATCAAAATCCGCAAAACATGATCCAACGATTGGTTTTTCTGAAAATTTGTCTTCAAGAATTCATTTAACAAGTTCTGATGGGTTGATTGATCCGGTAGATTTATTGTCTTCTTTAAAAATACAAATTTTTAAACTTATCATCCACCAAAGGCCATGGAACCTTCCATGCAATTGTTGTGTTTCTTTGCTCAGACTCGAAAGAAGTCTTCGAGCATTGATAGTTCCGTCAGGTTTCTTAAGTTAATTTTTAGATCCCCATAAGCCTTTGATATTGTCTTCAAAATTATCCCTTTATTTGTTAAAAGCCAAACTAGTTTTTAAACGTTTAGCCACTGAGGCCAACACATATTTCAATATTCGCTGCATTTCCTTCATTTGTGTAATTATGTCTCATGGTTAGATAATTGTTTCTTAAAATTTGAGCTTGCTAACTTTATTTTTTTAACATTATCTTTTTTAAATCTTGCAGCTTTCTTGTTTAGTTTCTAAACTCTTGAAACTATAATTTAACTCAAAGGGTATATACTTCATACAGATGTTTCCTTCTAAAATACGTTAAGAATTTATCTTCAATTGATGAAGAATTCATATCAAGAGATCGTGGAGCATGATATTGCATAGGGTGTTAGCTCTCTTTCTCAGAAGCAAATTCAAATTGCTCAAGAGGCTTTAAAAATATGTTTTTTAAAGCCTCTTTCAATACTATAAAGACTTGCTTTTAGATTCTCTTACGAATCGAAACATGAGCCTAGTTTTCAAACAGTTTATCTTTTTCGCCTAATAACAGCATCAGTAAGTTTCAAAATTTAAGGTTTCAATTTGTTTACCACTGTTCATAACTAAAACTTTGCTACATATTACAATGAAAACCTCGGCGCTTAGCTGTTAAAGGAGTCTCAGCTCTTGAGATTCGAATCGACCTCAGTCTGTTCCAATACTTATTATTTAAGTTACCTTCTCCTAGAGAACTGTCTTCGATTTAAAGTTTGATGCTCCTACAGTGTGTATCTACATAAATATATGTTTTTCAAAATAAGGACTCTATTATGTAATTCAGTAAAAAATCCTGGAGCTCAGTTGTAAAGTATCGCAGCTCCTGAGACTAATAGGAAATCAGTGGTCTCTAGAAATTCATCCTGATTTTTTTCCTCTTCTGCACTGAAGTTCGGTGCTCTGATATGCTCTTGATCAAACGAAATCCCTGGGTATAACTTTTAAGTCGGGCAGCTCTTGAGACAAAAACCAAATCCGTCTCCTCCAAAAGTGTTTCGTTCCTTTGCTTTTTTATTCAGCTCTTTTTGTTTTTTTCCTAAAGCTAAAATGTAATCCCGGATAGTTTTATTCCACCAAATTTATGCTATTAGACTGAAAAACATCATCGATATTGAAGCCCTAAGCTAAATGTCTCAGCTTAATTCTTTAGACGAACAAATTTTATCTTCCAGGTATTGTTCACAAAGGAATGCACCGCGATCAACGTTTATATCCTTATTGAAGATTTAGGTAAAAATCGAAATAAACACCAAAGAAGAATTTTAATAATCTTCACAAGCAATGAATTCCTAAAAAGGGAAAGGTTTCAGCATACTTCTGCATTTTTACGCAGTTTTCTACCATCAAATAACTGTATGCAAAATGAACTATGGGGCTCTGGCAAAATCTTGTCGGTTAAAAGGAGTAGTTTTTGTCACGCTGAAGTTAAAATTAGAGTGGATATCCTTGGAGAGCATCAAGCGACCTTATATGAGGCAAAAAAACAGCAAACTGCAAAAGGCACAAAAAATTTGTACATTGCATTTGCAAGTTTTCCTTCATTTGTGTTTTAGATAATAGAGAAATGCAAAATTTATCACAGGGGCCATAATAAAAAAGAGAAACGACCTGGAATTGCAAGGTTAGAAATCAGAAGTGCATTGATTTTTATGATGTTATGCCAAAATGTAAAGCGAGAAAGAAGTAACATGCAGAGCAACTGAAAAAAGGGAGAACCTCAAGGGACACCAAGGCTTCTTTGTGGCTTGCGAGAGATAAAATATAAAACATCTTCAGTAAACGGAAATGGAACAGCAAATAATCATAACGGAAAGAGAGGTTGGGCAAGAAAGGCGCGAGCAAAGGTCTCCGACAAAGGGCGGAGGTAATTTGACTTCAATTTCTGACAATATAAGAAAGTAGGGAAAATTTAATCGTTTACGAGCTCCGAGCAAAGAACAAAAATTTAACCGCCCCACTTCCCTTACCAAGGCTTCCAACCTCCGACCTTCCGATATCTTGGTCAGAATTTTTACCCCAGAGCTACAGTGAAACGAGTTGATGCGAGGTTCATGTGTCGGAGGCATACTGTGCAGGTAGCTAGGATGAGCAATGCCGATAGCTTCCCACGGGAAAACAATAATGAAGGTTATAAAGGATGAATTCGGTCGTCAAACAAACTTAGGAAGACATTATTCATCAGTACGAGTGGATATTTGTTAATTAGATCTGCATTCCCTTCATTTTAGGCATAGATTGCCACGCCCTATCTACGTCTCTCGAGTTTTCTGAAACAGGTTTTTTTTTTTTTTTGCACAATGGACGGAAAATGGGGCTATACACGTAAATCTCGTAAAAGTTAAAACTCTTACAGCTGACCACAATACTGACAAATGCGGCTAAATTAAAGGTTTCAATCGTTTTGTTTTTTTAATTAGTTTGGAGGTAAAAGCCTAGCTTTTTTGTGCCAAAGGCATGGAAAAAAAGAAACTAATCAAATCTTGGTCTTATTCATAACAATTGCAATGTAATATCCTATCACATACTAGATTTCTCTCGACTAAAGCTTTTTTTTCTACTTCACAGGCGTATCACGCCTAATTAAGAGTAAATTATATCCTCTATACCGATGATTCAGCAACACAGCAGCTTTTTTTCACAAAAATAAACTACCACACCGGTGGCGGCTTAGTATAATCGCTGAGGGGAAAGCGTTCATTAAAGGAAGATCTATCATAGCGGAATAGACAACGGTCGCAATTGAAAACACTGAGACTGCCACATTGTTAAGAGATCACGGAAGGAGAAGCAATAAGATTTTCCCTTGAAACTTGAAGTCTTTTCGAAAATAGACAAACGCGATGGACACACAAAGCAAGTGGAACAGGATGTTTGTGACTGTAGAGTTCACGGTATGCTTGTTAGGAATCACATTTAACGCACTTGTGATTTATACAATTTTCAAGAACATCCACCGTTTATCTCCGCCGACATATCTCATTCTTAGTATTGCAGTGAGTGATTTTCTTTCATGCTCCACTGCTCTTCCACTGTCGATAGCCAAGCACTTTCAGAAGAAATGGCCATTTGGTTTACATGGATGTCGGGTCCATGCATTTTTGATATCTTTTCTGGCCTTGGTATCCATCACTCACTTGGCCGCCATTTCCGCGGGAAAATACTTGACCATCGCCAGATCTCTTTCAAGAAACTCTTACTTCAACAAGAAAAAAGTGATGCTCATAATCTTGATCTCTTGGATGTACTCGCTTGGTTTCAGCTTGGCGCCTTTGGTTGGATGGTCAAAATATGGTCCGGAGGGTGCAAATGCTA